ACCCTCGGTCTGCAGCCGACTAATACCTGGATAGTTCGTGGAAACTTTCTAGTAACCGTGAGATAATCATATAAAGACTATCGAAGATGTAAAAAACAAAGTGTGCAGTGACAACCAGACCAGCAAGCCGCTAAAAAAGTAAAACTAATAGAACTTTCACAGATGGAAGGAGTTGACAAGGACAATGTACTAGAACAACGCGCGATAAACAACAAAGATGTAAGCAAGAAAGAGCAAAAATTAACTGTGAGGAAACACCTTATCCAAATGTGGAAGCGCTAGTAACAAAAAGCGGAGAACCCTATGAAAACAACAATAGAAAGAATGATATCTCAATAATAATAAAAATGAGCTGAAAGACAAAAAGCAGATGGCTGAGGAAAACTGAGGGAACAGTGAAACAGAAATAAATCTCTAACACATATCGAGAGGCAGACGGATATTCGCCAATAACATGATCCAGCGGAACAGACTTAAACTGAACGAAAAACAGATAGAAAAAACAAAAAGAAGCTGCGAGATAGAAGGAAATTTAAACCTAAAAAGAGGCAGGTTCTAAGCACCTTAACCTCTAGTTTCGGTGTACGCTTGTGTGGTCACTTGTTGTATCAGCCTATCTATTGAGCATTAAGCATTTAGCTGGTATCTTTTACTTTCCTCGTTAGTGAAAATCTTAACACCAGCTGCTTCTTTTCCATCTAGTGCCCATAACTTTTGCTGTGACACCGTCAAACTGCCCAGCAGGTCAAGGCGTAATTATCGTGTTTCAACGTTAGAGCTATAATTATTGGAAGGCTTTGAGTGGGCACAGTGTTTTCATAACACTTGTCAGCAGACTATCAGCTTCTATTGGGATACTCGGAATCCATCATCAGCGAGCTTCTCGCCATGTCCAGTTCACTGTGTTTGCATTGTACCAAAGTGGTTACTCATGCTGCTCAGTGTATCGCTTGCAACTACTAAGCATGTGGTCAAAAGCGTTACTCGCAACTTACTGACCCGTTTTTTGACACCTACGCTGAACACAAAGGTTTATTTTGGATCTACTGAGATCGTCTCGGTGCTGCTGCTTTAGCAAGGCGGCCGCCACCTCGGAATCTTGAGGGATATTTGTGGGTTCGTTCCGCTAAATGAGGCAGCAAGCGCAGCACTGTGTTTACCACCAAAATCCAGAAGTTGCCACTAACCAAGCTGTAGAATAAATCCCACCTGTCCTCCCGATAACATGGACTCAGTACCACCACGTTTATCGTACGGCGGGGTTGCTTCTAATGACAACAAAGAGAGCAAAATAGGCAACACCGAAGAGTCACCTGCTACAGTCGCCGACCAGGAAACCACGGACGATCTACCGTGGAATATCGCAGGCAGGAGACCTTGAGCGGTCTTTCCGAGCACAGTTGAGCAGCCGTCTGCGTTTTCTGAGAGCGATTTGCTCCACTTCCCCTTTACGTCCCTTACAAATTAGCTTCGGAAACGATGTCACTCCTACGCGCCATCTGTCCCGCCTTTAGCCTCTCAAAGGTCTGAGCCATCACGTGCGCGCCGATCTCACTCTGGAAACACGAAACTGCCTTCGGACTGTAACTATTGATCTTAATCGACGGATCCAAAAAGGTAAGCGCAATGTACGTACGCTAACGTTCCGTGTTGTGCCAAATCGCCAGCTAATAAACAAAAAGTCACTAACGGTGGTGCGTAGCCCAAGTTAGTTGTTGGACTTATGGTAGCACATACAAACGTTCGCAGTCTTACCAGCAAATCTGATGAGGTGCTGCTCTGGGTAGAATAACATTGTCTGGATAGACTTGGTCTGGCTGAAACATGGCTCCACGCTGACATTACTAAACCCGATTCTCACATCGATGGATACACAGCGCTTAGGTGTGAAAGGCCCAAAGCGCTCATGTAGGCGTGCTGCTATACATCAAGTCAAGCATGCGCGAGAAGCTTTTGTTCACACACCACAGTAGTGACGGTCTGTGCGAACAATGTTGGTGTCGAGTAATTGTTGGATCAAATAAAATGAGCGTGTGTGCGGTCTATTGGAACCCGGTGAATAGTTAATGTCATTGGATCGACAACGTGCAGCAGCACCTGAACTGTGGCAATTTCCTGCTGCTGGTCGACTTTAATTTCCGGCATATTTATTGCGTACAACATAGCAACTTACATGGCAGTAGCATCCTTGAGTCTAATTTTGTTAACATGATGACAGAAATGAGTGCTGTGCAACATAGCGGACAACCAATAAGACAACTTCCTGGGCAACTGGCAAGTTGTTTTGATCTTCTTTTTACAAACCGTGAGAAGCAACTAGCATCCGTAAGACTGTTTGAACCCAGTGGGCCTAGCGACCAAACCAACCTTTCTGCCGTTCTGCGTTTACCATCTTTGAGAAATTAACCACTACTCAGTCGTAACATTTGCAAAATCCAACTGAAATCTATTGCAGTATACTGCTAAACCTATGGAATCCTCCCTACCTCGGAATGGTGGTGTGGAGGCGTGCTAAAAGATGCTGAAAAAAATGTAACTCGTTATTCAATCAGTTCACACCCATTAGAACAATTAAGTCGCAGAAGAGGCCACCATGGCTTGATAGAGCATATGCCTTATTATCAAGGCGTTGAGTGATATCACGGAGTAACTGCAAGCACATTAATAACTCAAAGGATTACGCAGCCTGTATAACACAACAGAACCGCTATACCTTAATAAAACTAGGGAGGTTGCAGCTTACGAGACAAGCTTGTCAACGGTTGCAAAGGAAGCGCCCAGCAACATTTCTGGATATGTTAGAACCAAGCTTAGACCACCTGTGGAAATAACTGTTGAAAAATTTATTCGCTGAGCTGTTAATATCGACGCTGACTAGCATTTGATACTTGCCACTCATTTTGAGTCGGTTTTTGTAGCAGCCACTCCAGCACTAGCTTATAATTTAGTCAATGCCAACCTGGATATTATAGCATGTTCGGTAGATGAAGTTATGAACTAACTAACGAATGTAAATGGCTCCAAACCGCTGGACAGGATGGTCTACATGCACTGCTTTTCAAAATACTGGCAGCTCACATTGAAGCAACAGTAACATAATTTTTTAATAACTCTATGTCATTAAGGACCGTCCCACGAGATTGGAACCAAACAATCGTACGTCCGTTTCCTTCAGATGGTGATAAAAGCAAGACAGAACATTATAGGCCGCTTTGTTTAAGACCAAGCTTGGCCAAACTACTGTAAAATTGTGAAAAAGGCACTGTTTCAGTTCGCAGAATCACACAATGTACTCACGGCAGTCCAGCATGGTTTCTTGCAGGGACGGTTGTGTACCGCTTACTTCCTAACTTCACGGCGCAGTTTGATTGAACTAGTCAGCGAAGGAAAATAAGTTGACGCCTTGCTGATAGACTTCAGTAAAGAATTTGAGAAAGTCCCTCGCTGCATCTTGTTACCCCAACTTTCGGGTTACGATGTAAGTGATAACTTGTTGCGTTAAATTAATCCTTCTTGTGTAAGCGTCGGTGGTGCATTCAGGCCAATGATCATCGAACACGATGGTTTACTGCCTATAGTGGTGTGCCACAGGACAATTTACTTGGCACAACACTGTTTTTATTTCACATCGATGATCTGCCAGGACACTTGAAATCTACGTGGGCACTTTCCACCGATGATTTAAAAGTATGGAGCGAAATCTCGTCACCCGTTGATTGGCGTGTACTACAACTTGATCTAGACGAAATATCATCATGGGCATCATCTAACTACCTGCCGTTGAACCCCGCTAAGTTCGAACTAATCAGCATACTCAAAGGAACTCCTGACAGAACGTACATTATCGGTGGTCGACGGCTAAACCCAGTTACAACGGTAAAAGTTCTCAGAGCATTATCCTGGTGGATTTAAAATCTGGATAATATGCACAAATTTTAATGTTTCGGCCTCAGTATGGTTTGGTCACTGCAACGGATGTCCGATGTTTGGTCAGAGGAAACTGCTATCAAAATGTATGTCACATTGGTGAGCCGGCTATTGGAATACGGTGCACGGTATTGCTATCCTAGCACGAAGGGCATGCTTAGGAATCTAGAGAAGGCGCACCACCTAGCCACCCGCTTGATTCGTACACTTTGTGGCCTATCCTATTTACAAAGTTGCCAAAAGTTGCGGCTTCATAATGTAGTGCATATGAAATTAAGAACTGATCTCATTACAACCTTCAGAATTCTTCATTTGGGACACTTTTCTCATTTGAGGAGTATGTTCTGCGTTTCGAACATATCGATCATCCGTGGGCGTGTGTAGAAACTTGATATTCCGTGGATGGATCATACCATTCATTCCCATTGCTTCGCTCGTCATGTGATACATTTCTGGAACTGTCTACCCCATCTTGTTGTTGTCGCAGATTCTGCGCTATCTTTCAAGCAACGCGTTGGCAACCACTTTGGCAACCCATGTTTCGATGCGGATGTTATGTTTGATCCCTTCACCTCGAATGGATAGGTTACTGCTGCTTTATCGGTCTTACAGGACCGAGACGCTTAAGCCAACCGCTATTATAGCTTATAAAACGGTATTTTGTGTGATCGAATAGATACGAGCAGACTTGCGACTTACGCAGACCATTATCATGCACTGGCCGGTTTTGTTTTGTCATATTTATTACGGAGACTACATAGGTTGTAACCTTATGCTCCTAATACAATGATTCTGCTTCTACTATGCGGGTTTTAATTAGCCATTATGAAGCGCATCGCCAATTTGATATAAATTGCCATTCATAAACAACAATATTGGGTCAGTAATATTTTTACTAAGGTGCACTACTTCAGGGGGTCACAGAGCTGAGCACCGTATAAACGGTGTGAACTCATGTGCAGCCACTGTGTCTACGTACCAGAAAATTCAAGCAAGCAGACAAGCCGAAGGGCTCAGCAACAGCAGAAACTCTACTGACATCAAAGCATCGTAATAGCATATATCACGCGCACCTGAGTTGAGTAGGCTGACGTCACTGGTAGAGCTTTCCAGATGTATATTTCCATTAGGTTCTTTGTGTACGAAGCCACGGGCTAGTTCGGAAAACTCTGCACATAGGTGCCGTACATCCGTGTACTTAGCAAACTTTTTGACACTACATTCGTGTGATAGGTTTCCACGAAATAGGTCTTGATCAGCAAACTTCTCAGTTTCAATGGGTCCATTCCCGACTCGAATGACTTCTTTGTGACATTGCAGTAGGTCAGCAACTGTGATACTTTTCTTTATTCTTGAATTCAGAAGCGTGATTATATCCTCAGAATGTTCTTCCATGCTCAGCTTGCGGCACATATGTTGCAAGTCATCGCAATCCAAGCGTCCATCTTTGTCCTCATCACTGTCAATAAACAATTGCTTCAATCTTGTATCCTCCGCACTAGCTTTGTTGCTTTTACATAAAATGTGTCTTACGGTTGGTAGACCGCAAATCTGTACTTCGAAGAAGTTGTATCTATCTCGCTCATTTGATACTTACACCGAACAGCGCGCTGGTTACATCGGTCAGACCTTGAAATATTAGTCCTAAATTGTAGGTCATGGTTGATTCAAAGTAAGCACATGACTGACCTTGTGCTATTTAGAATAAACCAAACCATCGCGGATAGCCAATACTACTTGCATGTACCGACACACCTGTTTTACATTCTGCTTTTGATAATAGAATTTGTCTGCTCGAACTGAACCACCGGTGGCTTTAGCACCACCGGTCAAAGATGTGTGCTATGCATCCAAGACAAGGGAATATTCCTACTGATCGTGTACGAAGTTATCTGCCACAATTGTGCATAACTACCAACAACTCAATGCATTCCAGGTGTGCTAGTAAGTGTGAATCATTCGTAACTTCTCCGACTGAAGTGAGAGAAAAGATTGACCTTATGGATTCAGCAAAATATGACTACCATGTCGCTAAACGCGTGTTAAACAAATGTCAATGTGGTACCACTAAGTTTATCTTAAGTAAAGCAGCGATACGCTTCATTTATAGTTTTTCTGTTTTATGTTGACTTCCTATAAAAACTGAGTTTCTTTTTAACCCCGTGTAGTCACAACGCAGATCCGCCTTGGTGCACTTCACTGAACTGAACCGCAACAGCCTTATGTGATTGACGCATGTGTACCTACTATTCATTATCCGCCCATGGGGTGGTGTAACTCTACGTGCTTTATCCCATCAGCGTATTAAGGACCAGCGTTGTTGCAGTCTCTCGACAAAGCGGTTACGGCTCTCGCAGTCTTGCGTTGTGCCTCCTCACTTCAGGTCAAGTTCAACTTCAAGTTCAAGTTCAATTTGGACAGGAACGGTAGGAGAAGTCCCATGTGTGTTCCTTCTTCAATGCGTCGTTGAACCAGGATAGAGTTCGCAGGAGCGGTTTGGAGCCGAGAGGAGCCAAATCAATACACACGAAGCACATAACGGTCAACCAATCAACGCCCAGGCGGCCTGCACTAGCAGTCCCCACTGTACCGGCCACGTGAATAGAATAAAGATTAGGAGAAGGGAACCAACAAAAACAAAATAATGGTAATTGCAGTACAGGAGAGAATGTGTAGTTAAGACAACAATAGTAATAGATGTGAGGAGCCAAGGAAATAGATGTAGAAGTTAAGAACTAAACGGAAAGGTCTGAAACTGTAACCCAAGGGCGTCGAGTCGATGTTCAAACTCCTTCACCGTTGGTGCTAACACTACTTCGCTGGGTAGTGCGTTCCATAAGTCGATGACCCTGCGTGACAACCGAACGTCAGCTCTAACCTGATCAGATCTAGGCTTATGCAACTTCAGAGGGTGACCACGAAGAGATGACACCTAAGCCGGCTGGAACAGTCCAGTTAGATCAGGCCCAATCTTGTTGGTCAATATACGGTACGTAAGAATCAGGTCTCCCCGAAGGCGCCTATAGTGCAGCGAAAACATCTGCAACCTGAGCAGCCTATCGGGATACGTGAGATGCCTCAATCCTTGTACCATTTTCGTACCCACCGTCAGAACTCGTTCAAGTGTCATCTTATCGCGTACTAAGCATGGAGGACAGGCCTGCACGCAGTACTCCAAGTATGGCCTGACGAAGGCTGAGAACAATATGACGAACATTTCATTTGTTATAATGCCGAATGACCTGCGGATCATCCACAGCATTCGGAAACCTTTATGGGTAGCATTTGTCCAGTTCTCGCTGGATTTGAAGTCAGAGGATAACGAGATACCCAAGTCAGTTTGTTCAGTCACTTGACGCAATACCTTTCCGCCAAGTACGTAAGAAGTTGTGGGAGTGCTTGATCCTATGCGCAGGACCGAACACTTTGCAAGATTGACTGGCAGCTGCCACAATTCTGACCACTCCCAAAGCTTGTCCAGAGCTGTCTGTAAAGCCGTGGGCCCAACAGAACCGCTCACTGTATTCCAAAATTTTAAGTCATCCGCAAGCATAAGGGATGGTACCTTAAGCTTCGCAGGGAGGTCATTGACATACAATGCAGACAGTAGAGGTCCGAGAACCGACCCTTGAGGAACACCACTCAGAACGGCTTGTCTGAAAGACAGCCCGGAACCCACCCGGACGCTCATCTGCCTTCCTTCCAGGAAAGCCGAAATCCACTTCAATACTTGGCCTGAAACGCCGTAGGATCCTAGTTTAAACAAACTACGGCAACGGGGTACGGTGTCAAAGGCTTTAGAAAAGTCGATGAACAAAACATCCACTGCCTGTCCTTGGTCCACAGCCTCAGCCCAGCACTCTCGGGCTACCAACATGTTATTCAAACAGGAGTGGCCTCTGCGGAAACCATGTTGAGACGGGTTGAGCAAACTGAACTTAGCTAAGTGCTTTTCCAGAGCATCTCTTACAAGCTTCTCTAATACTTTCACCAGTACGCTTGTTAGGCTAACCGGTCTATAATTTTCAGGTAAGTGCTTATCACCCTTTTTGAAAATAGGGCACACGATAGCATCTCTCCAGTCAGCAGGTAGGGAGCAGCTATGAAGAGACTTCTCAAAGATACACTTAATCGGTTTACACAGCAACCCAGCCAGCTCGTACAAAAGTTTGGGATGAAGGACATCTATCCCGGCAGCTTTTGTGGGATTTAGGTCACGCAGGAGCTTGAGTACCTGAGCTTCCGAGATGGAAAGGTCCATCAGAAAGGAGTCTAAGGGTATCTTTGCTTGCAATTGGATATTAGGCAATGGAGATTCATGAACAAACGACCTAGCATACTGTTCTGCAAGTAAGCAGGCCTTGGCCTGATCGGTTGATACTTCAGTGCCGTCAGGTCCAAAGAGCACAGGGATAGGCGGATTTGCATTGCATCTCCGTTTGACATAGCCAAAGAACCGTTTCGGGTTTGTTGATGCAGATCGAGCTAGCGCTAGTTCATATCTCAAGCGTGCGGCCCGCAGATGTTGTTTACATGCATTTCGCACGCTTCGGTAGCGATGATGGGTACTTTTCGAGAGAGCTGATACGTAAGTCCTCCAACACCTGGATCGCCTACTGAGCATCCTGCGCGCCTCAGAGTCAAACCAAGGGGGCTTTGCCCCTACTTTATTCCTCGCTGAGATTGGAATGTGGGGGAGGGAAATCTCGCAAAGAAAGGATTTGAACTTGTCCCAAGCAACCTGGACGGTGTCATCCTCTGACATGATACAGAGTTGATTTGCAGCCTTGTCCCTGATGGCTTGAAAATCAGCGCGCCAGATATTTGGCCTTCTGACCATACACTCTTCACGTCCCCGACTTAAGGCGCATTTGAATAAGAGGCAGACGTGATCACTAGAGCCCAAGGGAGCAGCATACACTACATCTCGTACAAAGTCCAGCGATTTCGCAAAGATGAGGTCTAAAATGGAAGGCTTTTGGCCCTCCATGAACCTAGTTGGGCTTTGTACAAACTGATGAAGGGATGCTTGTAAGGATAGGTCAAGGAGATCATTTGAAAAACGTCCAGTCGCCGCAGTGCAGAAATTGCGCCAATCCACCTCAGGAACATTAAAATCACCCATAACAAGACATCTATTTGTCGTATGAGTACGAATGAAATCAATGAGCCTGCTTGACGTACTTTCGGGGCTTCTGTATACTAACACAATTTTCAATTGAGTGAAAGAAGCGCAAACATCTACCGCAAGCGCCTCGGCAGTTACATCAGGGGAACTGAAAGAATATGTTCGTGAAATAGTCAAGGTGGATTTGACGTACAAAGCAACTCCACCTCCGCGACAGCATGAGGCGCGATCAGCTCGCAGAAGGGTATAACCAGGCAAACACATTTCACTGTCCAGGATATCGGAGAACAGCCACGTCTCAGTGAAAGCGAGTACGTCTGGCCGGGAACTTTCTACAAGAGTGCCAATCTCGCACATCTTGTTCCTCAGACTACGCACGTTGCTGAGGACTACTTTAAGCAAATTGGGATCGTGAGCCGGGGATCGGGTGCCACCAGAACGGGCTCTGAAAGGGCGGAAGTAGACCTCCGGCTCACCACCCGAAAACCCACCAATCGAAGACCAGTTTCACCCGCCTCGCGACGGGCTTTGAGGTCCTTTATGGCGGCCTTCAATTTCAACCTATCAGTCAATGGGAGGTCAGGTTGAATACTGACCCCAGAACCCTTGAGTTTAAAAGCGAAACGCAGAAGCGTATTACGCTCGTCCGGTGTTGAAAGAACCACTCTCAGTAAACGGGGTTTGACGCCCGAAGCATCGACCGGCACAGACCCAAGCCTAATGAGTTTCCGTACAGTTACGCCAGGAAACCCGGGCGGTAGCAGTTTAGAAATGCAAATCTTAAACCATTGCAGGTCAGCAAGCATTCGCTCCTTTGGAAGAGCTGCGGTGGACTCCGTGACATTCCTAAAGATGACACTGCTATCAGTGTAGGAGTCACTGCGGCGGGGGGTGCCTACTCCACGCGCCACAGTCATAGAATCATGCGACTGGGTGGCTGGTTGCTTGGATGCACTAGCTGCGTACGAAGAGTCTTTGGGAGGAGACACCGAAGGACTCAGTACTGAAGGCTCTGCAAGTGACGTGCTTACCTGATCCACTGTACACTCCGAGACTACCGCATTTTGCAAGTTTACAGTTTTCTTCTTCTTGCTCGGCTTACGTTTCGCTGGCAAGGTTCTTTCCAACTGTTTAGCGCCAACTAGCTCACAATCAGTTGCTGGATAGGGTGTTAAGTCGACTGAATCGGTTTGCGTGTTACTGTCCGCTAATTTCACCTGGGCGTGAACAACGGATGGTGTCAGACGATCTAGTAAACCTTCAACTTTCCCATCCAAAGTTGTCAGCAGCAAAGAAAACACTCGTTCCATATTTGTCAGTCTGGAAACGAGCGAATCGAAGCAGTCTTTCGTGGTTACAAAGCGCTCAGCTTTCAGCTTAAAACAATCTTCACAGCTATAAAGGAACCTCTCATTGCTTGCCAGGAGAGCATACTGATCAGCAGGCAAACCGGTGCATGCCTCATGGAACCATCTACCACAAAGATCGCATTGCATACCACCCGACAAGTCGGTTACAGGTA